CAATTAACAATTACATATTTTTTCTTAGAAACAACTATGTGTTTTCTTTACACCGATTCCTCTCATTATTTGTGCATAAAAGTATTAAGGTAAAATAATTAAAAAATGAATATTTTATCAGATATTTTATGATTTATGTAGAATTAAGAAATTATTCAAGTCTCATAACTCGAAAAATACTCAACGAAAAAATATTTTATTATAATGTTTTGGAAAGCTCTCGAGGTCAGCTACAAGAGTATGTAATTAAAAATAGGGGGTGCCATTTAAAAAAATTGAGATGACCTTCACGTGACCTTCAAATGACTCTTCAAGGTCAAATCAATGGTACCATCTTATGGCCCCCTCGAAACCATACAAAACATGTCCGAACAATTTTTCTCTAAAATAAAAAATGAGAGAAATATTTGGGGTGGACACTTAAAATGAGACACCCTGTATAATTGCAATTATTTATATGCTTTCGTTTTATATGCTTTGATTTTATATAATTTATTTATTTAAATGCAATTCCCCATTTATCAAGAAATAACTAAAAAATTGCGTCCATAGAGTTCCGGTGTAAAACCAGAAGATATTACTCTAATTCTAAAACTGTCAGTCTTGAGAGACGAATAATTAAGTCATCTACCGAATACTTTTATACATTATAAAATTAATACGCATTAGAGAATTTATTTCGTAAGAATCCATTATAGAAAGATTTATCATAGTAAATGCAAAAAATTTTGTTCCAAACACTCTACATATTTGGATTAGGAATGTATGTGCATATCTTTCGTTTAAACAATGTATCGTTTTTCAAATCAATATTCGATTTTTTGGAAAGAAACAAAACTGCACAGATTGCTTAAATATATGTAATATTATACATACTATACAGTATCGTAGAATACAAAATTATCCTCACGGAATGTTGCATAAATGTAGAACGCTAAGTATTCGGTATAGTACGTTGTAAATCTATACGAATGCTTTCACTGAACTCTACAAAATATACGCGTTTTATAAAAAGTGTTTTAATTAGATTCACATAAATAACTGTTTGGAATATTGTAGAAGTAAGATTGGACCGGTCTACTGGACGGTACCTTCGATTGACCGCTCATTGGCAGAGAGTAAAGCGTCATATAATAAAATCAACGTGCCATTTCAAATATATGCGTACAAATATTTCTACATAACATAATCGAAAGCAAAATCTGATATCTTTTTTAAAATCCTCAGAATATATTTAATACACAATGTTGTTAAAATTAATATGGATAATTTGAATCATTAAAACTATTTAATAATTTGAATAATCACAGTTATTTTGAAGTAATATTAATGATACAATATGTATATGGATATGTTAATATTATTAAAATGACGCCACTAATAATTTCGATAAATACCAAACTAAATTTTCGTTTGTGCGCAACATGTACAAATAGCAGCCTAAACGAATTCGCTTGTGTCAGTCAGTAAATTATCCGATTTTAATGTAAATTAGCGTTACACTTCACGAGCACGTACGAATCGAAGGGTATTGGAAGTGAGGAGTGTGCGTGTGCATATTTGAAATATCACGCAAACGATGCGGCAGTTGGATAGATAATTGAGCGCTGAGAATTCGCGATATATATCGCATTGTCACGAAAACATTGAATGATCTCTATATAAAGCGTCTTCGTTCGTGCGAAGTCGCGGTTTTCATTTTAATCCTGATTATCATTCTAGCAACACGTTAACTTTCATCGATGAAAATCTCAATGAGAAATAAAAATCTCTAGCAAAATTGCGAAAAAGCAAATATCTTGATAAAAAAAAAATCGGAAATAATGCAAAATAAATCTGAATAAATCTAAACTTTTTCTATTATTCGCTAAAAAAAGATTCGATCGTTTCGACAACATTTAAAGAAATTAAAAATTCGAGTCTCGATATTGCTCGGATAAAAATCTCCGAGGAATCTTTAAGAATCTCGATTACTTCGTTGTTAAAGATTAACAGATATCTCTCCAAAGAAAGAGAGAGAGCTTCGTACGGAAGATACGTGACAGACGAGATCGCGTTCGAAATAGATGTTTTCGATTCCGTGATCGGTCGATGCCGAACATTCGGCGTGAGATGCATATAGGTGAGACAGTTCGCGCAATCGCGATTCGGGAGATGCACAATTCGGCGACAATCAATAAATTATCCCGATGCCGGGTACGACGTACGTACATTCGCTTCGTTAACTGTCGGACGCGCGCAGCACTTTCCCATCGCGTTAAATGGAACGTGCATCGGTGGGTCTTGCAATACTCGTCGAATGCATCCGAGGATCGAGGATCGCGTGTATATACGCTGATATCGACAGTCGAGGCTGATTCTCGGTCGCTAATCGACCTCCGGACCGAGTGAGACGTCGAGCTACGCGCGGAGAGCACAATTCAAAATACAAAATTACAAAAATATACTCGTGGCGCCGTAACGACCGAACGTGCCGTGCTGGCTTCCATCGCGTACAGCATTTACAATATGAACAGTATATGGATATAGAGTGCAGTCGAGGGAGAAAGACAAGGGAGAGAAAAAGAAAGAGAGAGTGTATATACATGGCATGGCACGGCGGTCGAGCAGGGCGAGCCGCGACTCTGCTAGGCCGCTTAAAATACTGTCCGACGTTCTCTCCGATCGTGCGAGCTCGATTTTTTTATGTACGTCGATGTGCGATTCTCATCGAGTGAAACGGCGATGCGAGAGGAGAGAAAAGAGACGCGAAGATTAACATTTCACACGTGTAATTCAACGTTAATTCGATGTCGGAGGAAACGGAGACGAAAACATCGCCGTCAGTTGGCACTGGCCCACGAAATACTGGGAGCATTGTTTAAGCTATCGCGATCGATCGTCGCGAATAAATACACGCCGCTATAAATCGTCGGCTTCGGCGCTCGTCGATCGCAGCGAAAAATCGAGGCGACACGATCGCGTCGTTATTTTCTCCCGTCACGTCTCACCCGGGTTGCTTTCCTTGCGCTCGAAATCTGCAATCATCGAGCGCTTAATACTGTTCGGCATAAGTAAAGCGGGCACGAGGAAAGCTCGATTTTTGTATCGGTGACTGTCATATATCATGGTTTTGTGAATCTCATATTGGGGACAACAATCATCGTGCGAGAAAGAAAAATGTAAAGAATAATTTTAAACGAGAGAGAGATAAAATAAAAAGAAGAAAATACACAGAAGAATTAAAAAAAAATTATTCCCCGAAATTATATTCGATATATCGCGGCATTTATTTATATCCTAGAGCGAGATCAAGCAAACGGAAATAAGAAGAAATGAGAAATGAGAAGAAATATCGATACTAGCTATTTTCAATCGTCATGTTGCTGCAATCGAATTTGTCCATTTAGATCTCACGGGAAAATTATGGCGAAACTATGCTTTATTCCCGGGCTTTGCATTTCCGATAATCAATATTATAAGATCAAAAATAAAAGGATTTAATCGATGGAATCTCGAAGAGAATGTAAAATGATAGATGCTAGAAATTTCACTGTATTTATATTCAAGTTGAAGCACAATTTCTATTTTAAAAGAAATTTAATTAGCGTCCAAAGAGATAGATGAGTATCGAAATATTTAATATCGAAATATCGCGGTAAAATTTTCTCTTCACGGAAAAAAGAAATCAATAGATTCGCAAAATCTAAAGATAAAGTGCGCCACTTCCGAGGACTTCTATACTCCGTATATTGCGACACGATTCCACGTAATACATTTATGGAGAAGGATTCGGCGTTGTTTTGTCGGAACAGTACGGATCTCCGAGTTGCCTGAAAGACAGGATGTCGGATCTGATCGAGCGCGTCCTTTGAATTCAAGCATCGTTCGACAGTAAGTCAAGTTTGTGCGGGGGATTCATCGGAAATACATCTGCCCGACTACTCGGCACTTTGTTACGGGGAACTGCCGTCCCGCGCAATCGCAACAAGTTGTATACAATCGCGTCCGAAAAATCCCTGCTAAAGCCAGAGAAATAGAACGTTAATCTCCCGGATAAAAAGGTAACAAAAGCATAAAGAGTGGGTAGCTCGTCGGCGATAAATTCGCAGTTAAAGAACGTTCTCTACCTACCCTACGCTTACCCCGGTGAAATATCACCTATGGGTGAAGCAGCGGTCTTTGTGCTGGTGTGTAAGCACGTAAGCACTCCTTATCACGATGTATAGCAGCTTGATGTCTCGCGCGAAAACGGAAACGGCATATCGACAGAATTAACCCCGGCGAAGATAATGGAAGCAAGTGGATACGATCTGTAATCGTATTCGAAGGAAATCGGATCGCGAGAAAAAAAAGAAAGGAAAAGAGAGAGGACAAGCTCGAATGAGTTCCCCGTCAAAAAGGCATTAACTTGAACGAAAGAAAAATGCGCCGGCTGTGTACAATGCGCGACAATCGCTTCGACAAGTCACATGTTTTCTAGTTTCAAGAAGAGACGATTTATCGGCCATCAGGTATTCGGGACCATAAGTCCGCTCGTTCGTCGATGATGTATAGCTCGCATGGACGTTCTACTTTGCGATATATTGTCGTCGATGGTGGAATTGCAGCGATCGCGCGTATCTCAAAATAGTGACGCGTTGAATTCCACGTTTACGACACGTCGTAATATCGCCATCTTTTTAAATAATGTCCATTTAACATTTATCCGCATTTCGCGATTGTCCCTTTTGATTCGCGATCGACGAGTTGCATATCGCTTCGGTCAATGATTCTTCGCGCGGTACGGATATTTATTCGCGATGCTGCAATTGTTAACAATTGAAATTCGTTACTGTTACTAATTGAAACGCGCGTTCAATTAATTTGGAATTCCAAAATAAATTTGAATCGATATCAGAGTATATGTACATTAAACTGGTCATTTTTGGTATATCAATCTAATTATAACTAGCATGATTGTAGTGATGAAGATTAATCGAACAACGACGCCAAATTAACTGCATTTCCAAAATACGCTATTCCGATCACTGGTTTATTACCGATGATAATTGATTATACGAACTCCAAGGACACGATATTCGCGTAGTTAGCGTCGACAGAAATATACGTTATCTAGGTATATTTTTTTTTTTGGTTGCACACCATCTTATCGTACTTTATAATACATTTGTTGTTACAAGCTCAAACATGCGTTCGAGTGTCGTCGCACTTATATCTACTTTAGGTTTATACATTGCTGTAAGATTTATCCGTTTAACGTAATACAAAATGGAATCGTCATATAGTACTGTTATATTACGTACTGCGTTAACAACATCTACATCTTCTCTGATTTTAACATACGTACCTCTTACGTATATTAAAATACATTAATTAAAATAATCGTAACGATAGATTGACAAAATACTGCAGTCGGATTGTGCAAAGTATACAGAGTAAAGTCAAATTTGCTGCTATAATTATCGCATGTGGCATCTCTCGACGATTAAAGATATCAAATGTCGTTAAGGCAGTACGGCATATATCTACGAGTATACGGTGTGACGATGCTCTTAGGGGAAAAAGGGACATAGATCGTTATGCGCCATTCGATGTAAGCTGTTTGAGAATTTGCAAGAGAATGCAAGAGAATGCACGCGGTCTTGCTACAATTCGATACAAGCGTCGAAATTTCGACATTAGAAAAGAAACGCGACAGGAGATGACATGTAACAGCTATATAATTTCTTAACAATATTAAATTCTCATTACGCTTTTTTCATAAATGTAACATGTGCAAAACGTTGCTTCGTCTGAATCTTAACAGTTCCATTTATATTATATACGTGAATCGTATCGAAACGATCGCGATTTTCGATTACGAATACAAGACGAATTCACTGATATCGCTCTTGACAAAACGATTTGTGTTCAGCACTTGCAACAGTTGCTTCCTATTTCGCATAAATTTCATACAAAACGCGAACAGGTTTCGCCTTATCGACTAAGCCGACACCAATGTGTCCGGAACATTAATCACTTGATCACCTCACCGCGCGTAGTTAGCGCCAAATAAGAAGCTAAAGGAACTCGACCAAAAAAAAAGAAAAAAAAAGAAAAAAAATAATATATATAGGAGATGAGGAACGGAAATGACATCTATCAATAACCGGACCGTTTAAAAATGATTCGTACGAATTGCACGAGCCATTTGGGTTTAGATTACTTCGGATTCTCTGTTTCATTCAATAAATAATTTACGAAATAATTTACAGGAAAAAGGAAAGGAAAGAGAGATGACTTACAGGAAGGAAAGTGACTCTTAATCATCGTCAGTAATTTCGACGAGCCACGCCGTTGTCTTCCCGAGTCGTCTCATGTCTCGTTCATCCTCCAGATGACTGCGATTCATCGAGCGAAATGGAAGTTGCACGCGCGCGAAACGCGCGTTTCGAAAGGCACTACCGGTTTATTGTAAATGTGGTCGCACGCTCCCCATCATGGCGTACTACGACCAATCGTCCTCATTGTGGACGATACCCGTGATATCATACTTCTGTGCCGTCCTCTCCCTCGTCCTCGTACAGCGTCGGCCCGTTGGCAGATTTCTTCTTGGGCTTTGGCGGCGGTCTAGGCGGTACTTTCCTGCCGAGGGTATTGCTGGCGGCAGCTTGTTGCTGCTGCGTCAATAGCGAATGTCCGCCGTTCATGCTTTCATCCGGCAGTTTGATCGGCCACTCGGCTGCGCCTTCCGGGGCCGCCCGGTCTAGTGGACTGCCGGCAAGGATGTTCGGCGTGCTACGTTGAATCGTGCCATAGTGCGAGCTGGGACCGCCTGGCGTGACTGGAAGCGGCCGCCCCCGCATGGATGAGGCCACCGATTCTGGGCTCTTGTTCAACGATAACATCGAGCTGCCATCAGCCGTGGTGCGCAGCCCCAAATTGTCATAGACCGGTTCGAGGATGTCGGTGGGCGACGTCGGAGGTCCGCTGCTCCAACTGGGAGCTCGCGGTCGACGCGGAATTGTTACGTAGCCGTGACGTGGCAGCACCGGTGCCGCCGAGGACGAAGACGACGACGGTCCGAGGCAGTACGGTGTTACGCTGCGACTGTGTGGCAACGTCTTGAAGGCGGCTGGGTGATACTGGCCAGGCGGCGGCGAGGCATATGACGACGATGATGCCGCCGCTGTTGTCGTCGCTGTCTGATTAGGCAGACGCGTGTTGTCAGGCGCTGTCGACGTCTGGCTAGTCGGCGATGCGCCACGACCGCCGGAGAAAGCCAGCAGATCTGGTGGATATTGTCGATGATGGTAACTGGTACCCCCGCGTGGCAACGTGCCGCTAGTACCGCCTCCGTCGAGTTCCGGAGTAGCCAGTTCGTGCTCCCTCTCGTCGTCTATTCTGTCCACGACACTGCTTCCGACACCGTCAACTGCGAGAACATGAACAAAAGAGAAGGACGAACGTTAAGAAAGAAAATTTAACAGCAAGAAGAGGTTGAGAAAAAGAAAAACTGGGAAAGAAGAAAAAATTATGTCAGAAGGTCTGCGAGACGCAGACGCGCGCGGTAAGGTAGCGTCGCCAGAACATTGCTGCTTTATTGTTAGTAATAAGATCCTGACACGAAAATTGACGTGACATTATTCTTGACGAGCGCGAACGAGTGCTTTTAAGTCGGATTAGTCGCGATACGATCGCAAACGGGAGCGCGCTTTATTAATTTGATCGAAAACTGCAACTACGTTGCATGAACATCGTTGATCAAGCGTAATGTTCGGCGATATCATATTATTATCAGAATTGTATGGTATTTATAAACTTCGAAGATTTTTACAAAATCCGAATCTCTCGCGTTATCATACAAGTCATTGTATTTTTTTTACAGTGTTATAGACAATAATCTTATATCGTTAAAGATGTCTTTGATACTTCAATAATATCGCATACAATTGTCTACGTAATTCATCGAAAAATATTTTTATTAACAATACTCGCATATTGATACACGCAAAACAATCTTGATGAATCTTATTGTCGTCATTACTTGTGCAATTATTTCAATTATCTACTATGCAATTTATGATTAATATTCTCGCGCTTGACGATAAATTATAAAAAATTTGCTCTCATATGTCTACGAAAAAAATGTTGCTAAACAATGATGTCAATAGTTGAACGCGGATGACAAATGTCTTTGCGCTGTCACATAACGCGACGTTTTAGTCAGAAATACTCAGTGTATCATAAGCGTCCCTAATGGATCTTCATTAGTCTCCTAGCTGCCATTTGGCGGATTCTCCTTACCTTAAGATCGATGGCACCTGATTAAACCGTCAGACAATTCTCGCATTACGATCCGCACGCCGATACGAAACAAATCGATTTATAATTACACATACACACATACGTACAAACACGCACACGTTATTTGTACATTATATAAGTGACGTATATCGTCTCTTGTCTCCTTGCGAGGAAAGAATATTCCTTCGATAGAACAATAGATGTTATTACGCGAGTCATTCGAGTCTCGTATCGACTGATAATTTTCAATCAATGTCCGCGAGATTTATCAAGTCTAATGTAAAATGATCTCTCGCTAGCATCTAGCCGCGCACTGTTTAGTAATATAGGCTGTGTACTGACCGAAGACGGAGTCGTTGTCGAGCAACGTGCGATTCAGCTCTGTCATCTCCGTACCATGGGACGTCACCGACGGTGCTTCGTATCGTCTCGGCGGCTTCACCACCGGATTGATAGTGGTAATCAAAGACTTCTCCTGCTCGCCGAGGCCGGGATGTTCCAAGGATGCCGCCTCGAGACCCTTCTCATCGTGCCTGGTCCGGCGACGTCGGCAGTGACACACGCAAAGCACAATCGTCACGATCAGCAAGCACAGCGTGGCGACACCGAGTATTATGGCGTGCGACAGGCTCATAAAATTGTCTCCGCTGCCCAGCGTGTCGCCCACGATGGCCAAGGTCACGTTCTTCTCGGCTTCGCCGCCCGGGTTCTTCGCTTGGCAGACATAATCACCCTTGTCGAAGGGCGTTGCATCAAGAATGGTGAGATTCAACCACTCGTGTCTCGCTGACAACACGTAGCCTCTGTCGCTACTCGGACGTTTGGCGAGGTTGTCTAAGACGCGAGTACGATGCGCCCATGACATCTGAAATAAATAGTCGCATGTGACATATTTTATATTGCGAACAGTGATAAAAGATTAAAGAATCAAGAATTGCTAAATAAAATTGTATATACGACATGTTACATAAATAAAATCGCATTAAACTGTAGATTCTTAAAGCGAAGTTCTACAATTAGTTTGACGTTCCCGAGCACTATTTTCGACGGCGTCTGCACGGAAATGGCAATTACCTTAGGAGGTGGGATTCCCGTTGCTCTGCACGAGAGAGTCACGTCTCCTCTGCCCATTTCGATTTTGGTTGCCGGGCCGATGGCGGTGATTTTCGGTCTGCATGCAAACTCATCGCTGGTAACTTCGTCCCACATCTTGCCGGCCATGTTGGGCGGTTGCTCGCAAGTGGTTGGCTTTGTGTATAACTTTCGTTCGATCGCCCAGTCGCGGAACCTTTTGAGATGGCAGTTACAATTCCACGGATTATTCTGAAGTTCGAGACTACCGAGTTTAGGAAGACTCTGGAAGCTCTGCAGTTGCAGAGTACTAAAGTTATTCCCGTCGAGCGTGAGGGAGTGCAAAGCCGGTACATTACGGAACGTTTTCTCCTCGATGCGCTCCAATCTGTTCTCCGACAACCCCACTTTTTGCAGAAAGGTGAGATTGAGGAATAGATTATTTTCCAGTACCCTCAGTCGATTCTGATTAAGTAACAACACACGCAATCGTTGAGTCTCGTAGAAAGTTCCCGGATGTAAACTACGTATATTGTTGCCTGACAGATCGATCTCGATGACGATCTTCAAGCCGCTGAAAGCGTCCGTATGAATCGATTCGATGCCGCATTCGCGCAGTATCAATTTATGCAGATTCACCAGGTAAACGCGACTAAACGCGTCGTGTGTAAGATGATTCATGTGATTGCCGGTAAGATCGAGATTCTGAATCTCTGGCGAGAGGTCCCCCGGTACCTGCGTGAGGTTTTGCTTAGTACACTCGGCGGTCTTCTTGCCGGACACCCATTTGCACTTGCAAGTCGACGAGCACTGCATCCAGTCCTCTTGGCCTTGACACAGGGCGACCATAAACGCCGCATAGAGCAACCACAAGCCTGTCATTCCCATCGATCCCATCTCGAAGAATCCTATTAACAGCGGAAACGTGCACAATGATGTTAGAACGTGACTGCAAGATCGCGATCGTAGAACTTATTCAGTTAAACGGAGTTGCATACGATGAGACGCGTTTCATCTTACGCAATATTACATCAGGATAATATGTGCAATGTGTGTATTTGTGTGTATATATACACGGTAAAAAACATTTTGTATTTCTGTTAAAATTTTCTCGTATAAAAATTTTTGTGTTAAATTTTTAACATATTCTTATGTTAATGTAACATATTATCGTTGCGTTATTTTGACATTTCTGCGTTGAGTTAATATTTCACCGTTTCTAAGAGTTAAAACAACACAATTAATATGTAAATGCACGAATTTTTGATGAAATATGTTACATGTTAAAATGAACAGATAAATTGTGTTATTTTTCTATCTATAACAGTTTCCATATGTTAAATCGATATATCTCTTCTATTTATCATAAAAATGTAAGAATAATATTTTCTTTTAATTAAATTTAACATTATAAATATGTTAATTTAACATAAACTTTATTTCCAGATAAAGTTTAAGTGTTACACTTTTGTGTTAATTTTTAAACATATTACTTGTGTTATTTATTTACATATTTGCCTTCTGTTAAATTAAACATTAAATGTAACATTAAAATTAAAGTAGATAAATTGGGATATATGAAATATGTTAAATTTAACACAAAATTTTTTACTATGTATATATACATATATATATATATATAAAATATGTATACATATATTAGCTATATAACTTAATATTCATCAACGAGAGCGACTAGTTTTGTGTTTCACGTGTATTCATTATTATTGATAGTTGAACATGTAGGTGTGTAGGTATAGATCATTGTTTAATTATACGATCGAATAATCATATTACATACGTATATGTGGCAGGAATTAATTATTACCGAATAATATGCGGGTGCTTAATAATTTTGAATAATTTATATACGATACAAATATCCGACACGCTATTTGACACTTTTGGTTAATATACGCTGGAATAATTGTTCGTACTGAGCAAATTACGTGATTACGTAATGATTTTATACTGATGTAAACATCATCATATATGTTTTTAACGTGAACTATTGTGAATTGTGCATTATGCGTTTTACGTAAAATTATAAATTATATATCATGTTATTTTGTATAATATATATATATGCCTGGGTTTGATTTTACAGTCTCGTAAATTTGGATTTGTTTAATGCGCTTATTTGGTCGCTCGCGAATCGCGCGAAATGAATGAACACTTTTGTAAGGAACTAAGAACTTTAATACACAACACAGAACACTGCAACGTAACCACAGAACGTTTATACACAATATTAGTAATACGGATCGGCTCGATACAAATACGCGTCCGCACAGCTTGACAGCTGGGACTCGACTTAAATGACAGACGCTGCTGTCAACAACCTCTTGACAACGCGCTTCTTCTCGTTAATCGGCGCTGTCCCGATGAACACGGACGATCAGGGTCGTAACACTATGTATTGAATGTTAAATTCATCATTTTTTTATGGCAATATAAGTCGTTACATGGCTCAAGATTATTTCGTGGTTAGTCATACGATTAAACTTGACTTTTCATGTTATCGGAGAAGTCTGACTAGGTCTGAGTTTGATACTATCAGAGATACCATCCTTTTTTTCGTTTTCAACACTATTCTCGTCTTCCTCTCCTCCTGTATTCCTGCGAGCTTGCCTTCCTTTATTTTTTGTTAGTTTACCTCGCTAATTTCCGAGCATGCCGGGACATCTCTACCGAGGACTGTTGGCAATTTAGCTTTAATACCGTTACAGTACTCTTCAACGCTAGCGTCACGTCAACGCGTTTCGCCAAAGTTAAATTAATACAACGCGACAACTAGAGTACGCCTCAACCCTTTTATTATCACCGTGAAGTCCGAGATTGTGCATCAAATTAGTCTTTCCGTCGAGAAGCGACGAGCACAATTCATCCAGGGTCTCTCTACGAGTTAAATCAAGAAAGAAAAGAAATCCGAGTTACACAGTATTGCGCGAATCTTGATGAAAAAATTTATCGAAACTGTTCGTGGATAGAATATGATAAATGCTGATGAAATTAATTCGTTTATTTCAATTATTTTTATTTTTTATTTTTTTAATTTTACTTTGTCTTTCAGATTGCATCTCTACATCACGCAAAATGTATATACGTATTTTCCAAATGTATATCCACTGAGAAAAAAATCTGGTTGCATTAATTAGAATTCAGATAGATTCAACCAGTATGTCTGTTGGAAAATGGACGAACCAGAATTCTTATAGGAATTGCCAGATAAATCTGATTAATTTCTTCCTTCTTTCCTCCCTTAAATTTACCAAATTTTCTGATTAATAATACTAAACTCGCCAGCACCAAATCGTCTAAAATTTTTTTCATCTAATCTCAAAAGTCTGTTTAACATTCTGAATTCCAACAAGATTATTGGATAAATTCAATCCAGGTTAGTGAATAAATTATTTTAAATTCAGTTTGTTAGAAATTAAACAGATAAACTGAAGCGTACCAAATACACAAAAAATGTGTTCCACTATTAATAACTCCCGTAACAAGGTTATGGACCCAGGAGTGCATACGGACTTGTAAAGCAAATTCGTGAGTAAAATAAGACAAGAAAAGAAACTCAGACATGGCGACGTTAAACACATTTGATCGCATCGATCGACTGAACGGTGACAATTACCGATCATGGAAGTTCGCCATGAAAATGCTTTTGATACAACGAGAGTTATGGAATTATGTGGATGGTTCGATCGTATTATCAGACGACGCCACGCGAGAACAAAAGATACGATACAAACGACGAAAAAGCATTATCAGCGATTGTCTATAGACCCAGACCAACAGATTCACATAGTAAACTGCGACACGGCGAGAGAAGCATGATTGGCACTTGCAGAAATACACGAGCCCAAATCTCGACAACGAATAATGCAATTAAAAAGACAATTTGTGCGGACTCGACTGAGAGAAGATGAAAGCATGGAATCATATTTGAATCGTCTCAAAATTTGCTCGGATGACATGCGAGGAGATGGAGCAGAGATCAAGGACGAGGATCTTGCTTATGCAATGCTATCAGGCCTACACGAAAGTTATGACGCATTAACAATGACGCTCGCAAGCTTGGGAGACGAGAAGTTCACCTCAACGGAAGTAAGAAGAGCACTAAGCGCTGAATATGATAGACGCACGTCCAGATGTAAAGAAGAAAAACAAAAACATGAAATTGAAGCGTATCAAATAAAGAAAGGTAAGAAAGATACCACAACGAAACCTAAAGCAGGAAAATGTTTCAGCTGCGGAAAAGCGAGACATTACGCAAAACAATGCAGAAACAAAGAGAGAAAAATTGATAGAAGCAAGGAAAAACCGATTGCATTACTTGCAGAACACGCCGAAGGATGCATGGTTAATAGACAGCGCAGCGACTCATCATGTATGCAGACACAAAAAATGTGTTCCACTATTAATAATTCCCGTAACATAAACAGTGATGCAAGAAGAGGCTGCAGCTCAAACACACAATCAGATAGCTAGCGTCCTCTTTCTGGCACTACTACTCGTAAGAGAAAAAAAATATACTTTGGATTTAATGTTAATACTAGTTCTTTATATACATTTTATGGCAAATATTGAATACGAGTTAAGTTAAAAGTGGCAAGCAAAGAAATTAATGTAACAAGAAATTTTATACATCCAACCAGAAAATATTAACCAAATTCTTATAGTAAAATCTATTAAACGTTCTAGTTATAAAAAATCGAGTCTTATCATGATAACTAGAAATTCTTGTTTGATTTAACCAAAATGCTTTCAATCATATACGTCTTGTTGGTACAATCAAACGATTTTTCTCAGTGTGCGATTGGGTAAAAACAAAACATTTTGCGAGAAAGATAAAAACGATTATGAATTAAACAAACGATTCAGTTCCATTGGAGAATTGGCGGTAAATGTTAGAGCAAATTAATTGAAATTGTATAACGTTTTCCCGTTTCGAAAAGTACAAAGAAAACGGCGAATTAACGTCACGAAGAGAAATTTGTTCATGACGAAGATCGCACCGGGTTCTTGTCGGGAAACTTGTTTCGACATATGTGTCGTTGTAGATTTCCGCCAACTTTTCACATATACATGTTTCGCGCAGTCGACTTTACTTCCCGGTGCCGGAACTTTTTGAAGTCTCTATCCACAAAGAGCGACCGCGGTCGCTGTACTTGCTTACAATTCTGAGACTTTATTGTCGTGGCCGCGAGAGCAGTTCTTTTGAGCTCGATCGGTGGTTCAGCTCCAGGATCAGAATAAATGTGTACCGAGCGCATCGTTCTTTAAACCTGTCACATATCGCTTCAGCCTTGCTTTTGTCAGCGCCTTTAGATTTCAAGATAAAACAGCACTCTTTGTACTAGAACATACCAAATTCAAAATGCATCGCTTATGATATATGCCAAGCGTTTTCTCCTCACGGAACATTTCGGAAAAAGCAGGGATTAATATTATGCATGTAAAGCGAAAGATAACATTCGTATTCTGATATTGTACGCGTCGATTTTTTGTCTCTTCCGCTGTCGCGACAACGTCCCTCCTTTCTCTCGATCCTAGTCGTCTATCGATCGACCGCATTTGACTTGTAAATAGCTAGCCAACAAGAGGACGTTAGGTGGAGAAAGTAAGGCGCTTGTATACCGATCGAAGTGGCTTTTAGCCTAGATGAATGATAGACGGGCGAGACGAGTGTCCTTTGGCGGCGCGTGTATCGTGCCGGAAGGAACCTCCCACCCGTCTCGTCGCGAAAATGCGGAAGTTGCTTGACGCGGAACGTTGTGCGTGTGTCCGACATGTTCGTGCGCCACGCAATAGAGAGAGGAAAAAAACGTCGAATGCAGAGAAAGGAAGAAAGAAAGAAAGAGAGGGAGGAAGGGTCGATTTTCCGCGGGGTGGAATTTCAAAT